CTTAAAGTAGAAAGTCGATGCCTTTCAAAATACATACTGATCTTCACAAAAAAATGAATGGTGCCTTCCCTGCTGTTCACAATTTTTACGGATTATATCTGCAGGCACAATAAAAGTGCCAACAGTGTCACAGTGGAAAACTTCGATTGAGTCACTTGCTATTTGCACACTATCTTTAATTATCTCATCATGCTTGATTCCGTTCCTAGTGGGCTTCAACGCACATTGTTAGGTTCGTCGCCGCAAACCATGAACCTGACACGAAGATTAGCTTGATCACGAAATTCTAACATGTTTGTACCCTTGATAATATCCATTATCTCAGGCAGATAATTGTGAGACAAACGGAGCAGATAGAGAAACTTAATTATCTCCGGGCAGCAATTACTATAAACAGCAGGTATGGAGTAAAAACAGATTCTTCAAACTGCTAAGCAGTCGTAGTTGATTAAGAAAGAGCTGTATCCCAATGCAGATCAAGCTGTCATATTGTTAGGTTGTCTTAAAGTCCCTTAAACGTATGCTGCCACCTATGAGTTCGATTCTTTGCATACAAGCAGCAGAAAAGAGTTTCGGTCAAAGTATTGCTGATTAAACGAGGTTTGGCAAATTCTGAAACATGGCAATCTGAGATAACTTTGCATGCGAGTGGCTTCTTTTCCACATCGAGAGATCACAGTTCTGAAGCATTGGACAAGTAGTCAAGACAGATATTATAGCAGAGACTTGAAAAATAAACGCCCGTTGTAAAGTCGAAAGATAGGTGGATAATCTTAAAGTGATGGCCAAATGATTCGGCTGTACTGAATCTTGACATTGTCGTGATGTGGAATTCAGCCAGTTAAGTTTTTCTGATTGGCTGAGGACTGCAACTTTGGTAAAAAACTTACACTTTGCCCCACCATCCAAAAAGAAAGGCGTACTGCGAAGATGGACGGATTGGATAGTGGACTGATGCAAACATAGACAGACAGATATATAAATATAGGTCTAAAGATAGACTGTGTACTGCTGTGTCAAAGACATTATGTCTTGTATTAGTTAAAGTATAAATGTCAAGGGATGAACAAACTAATGCCCCTTATGAGAAAAACTATATCTGATGACATAATCATATACGCATTTCAAGAATGACTCGATCTGCTTGAAGACGCAGGGAATAATTCAAAAAAAAAACGACTCACTCAGAAGCAGCGATACACAAATCTGATACTTTGTCGAAACGCATGAACCATACAGCAGAGATTACACGATTTCGAAGTTTCTTGAACACATCCGCCTTTATAGCGATTGGAATCAGCAATTTTAACTCCTGAAAACACAAAATCTGATCAATGAACTAAGTCAGTAATGTCAACACTAAGAGCTAAATAGAAGCTGCAAATCATACAAAACCGTTTACAGATTTTTATGCAAATTTTAGCCATATGTTCAGCAGGTGAACAGTACACAATCCACCACAGCATCTTTCAGCTGTATTCTGTTCCTAAATAACCCAAAACAGAAGTTCGGTAGTGATTTCTGCTTGCAAACCGGTTACCCGGATAAGATTGTTAAAAGGATAATATACCGTGGAAATGAAGTTTAATAATTTATATACCTTGGCGCCATAACGACCGATTATGAATGAAACTTAAAAGAAGGAACGCGATTGCATCTTATTCTCTACTCATTACGTCAGTATCTGGCCTGGAAAGGAAACATCAGTTCTAAAGGAGCAGTATGTTTAAGTGGGCTGCAGTCAGGCGGTTTTCTTATAGTGACTGATTGATTGATCACGCATCAGCACAGGAACGCCAAATAAACAGTCCGCAACAGCTCTGGTTAAAACGCACACTGAAGATCATATGAAATGACCACCTTCTGGCGCTAGCTGACCTCACATATGTCAGAGGTATTCAGAGACAAAATGAAATGGTTGATCGTCAGTAGAAAACAAAATTCTTTGGATCGTCAGCTAAAAACGAAATAGCCCAAATACGGATGACAAAAGATCGCGGAAGAGCATCACATGATATCTGAGAGTAAATGAACAGCTCTTGTCCATGAGGAATCTTCATTTCCAAAACAGTAAACTCCTCCAAATATGGAACGACCAAGCACTAAGTTAAGAGGGCATCTGCAACGTCAGGTAGCTTCTAGGTTTGTTCAGATGACGATAACCAAACGAAGGTCGTACTTCCATGTTGTATCACCACCTGGACTGCTCGACGTAAATCGAATTGGTTAAATGGATGGCTAAGCTAGGGTTCTGCTTGCAACGAAGTCTTGCCACTACAGAATCGAACTCTCCTCACGTTTTTTTACAGAACGTACAGATATGGATCCGCTAGACCGATGGAAAGAATTATTCACGAATAATATATGGAACGATTACGTTAAATTAACCTATGTGTTTGTTTTCATCTGCTATACACTGTCTTTTCAAATTAATGCAAAGAACACGATTACAGTTTGTGCTCCTTTACTGCACGTATTTACGCTGAAACGGAAGTATTACAACAGGAATCGAAAGATTCTAAAATTAACAAAATATTGTATCCCCCACTTGCAGCCATCTTACTAACGTTACTCCAAGTAATTATTCAGTGAAAGGCTTCTAAACTTTATGCTGCATCGTCATTACTGTCACTTTAAGGCTTCATAACGCGAAACATGTGATACCGTCAAGGCCATTCTTCTAACAAGCTCAGTTGGTCGCGTCATGAGACCAGACATGAAACAAAGAAGTCGTTCCAGTAGTGTTGAACAAGCTGGAGTGGTGAGTTCAGTACCGGTGGAGATAGATTTCTGAAACGCTTCGTACAGCTTAGCGCAACAAACATAGCTGCGTTGAGGAACCGGTGATGGAGAGTTTTCAATCAGGTACAACAGGAGCTCTGTGATGTCCAGCATGGGCAGACACAGAAAGTCCATCTGAAATAAAAAGTCAATGCAAGAAATTAAAAAGATAAAGTAAACACCATAAGACTACTTCAACTACATCAAAACTTGCATCTTCTTCGAAAAATGAAGTGACTAATTAATGCGCTGGCAACCACTGCCGACTTTCTGGCCTGTATTCCACAGGTGTTCTTCAAGGTAGTTATTTTGAGAACACCACTGCCAACGTTCGCAGTCTGTATAGTGTTCTGCCTCACAGTCTGTATACTGTGCTGTAACGACAGAATGATCAATAATCTGCATTGAGTAAAACAATTTTTTTCTGTTTTCACTCAGTGAACAAATAATGAATAACACAGGGATAGACTTGGTTCAGACTCAAAGTAAACTATCAATTTTGGAAACTCATACGTCATACGGTACACAGTTGATAAAATAAAGTAATGCCTACGGAAAAGGTAATATATGGTTCCAAATAGTGGATCGTTGATAGTTGCGGGCCTCATACAACACAGATGTTTACAATTAATTGCCAACGCGTTTCGCCAGGTACGGAGCGGCTCAGTCAAGGCAATGTTGTCATATTTATAATCAAGATTCAGCCACAAACAATATTTAACATTTAGATGATGCTCCGATAGTTTCTCCCCTATCAGGTGGGTCAAAGCAAACTGCAGCTGTAAAGAGCACGCACAAGAATATATAGCTATATTTCTCGCAATCGTTTATGACCATACTAATAACAACGTGCTGTCTACACTATTCCAGGACAACGACCTAACACCCGGATTTCGGCTGGTACAAGGGAAGCACAGCAGAGTGGATTCCTTGCGTAAAGAAATTAACAATCAATGCAAAAGAAATTTACGTTCGCCAAGCGTAGGATGTGAACCGAACACCTCTAAAGTGCAACCAAACTTAAACCATCCATTGCGCCCCCACACAATTCATATCTAACATTTTGATGTTCAACGATTTACGATGTACGTTCAGTGGAAATCATATACGCAAGGCATTGTCTTAGTCAGATTTGACTGCGAAAACAAAATGTGCACAGATGATTCGATTACCCAGGTGTATAAAATCGTATTTCACCAGAAACTGATAAGCAAGAGTAGTTAACGTGCAGAGATGGTACCCTAGATCTAAATTCTACTGCAAACTCAATGGGACAAAAACAAGGTTACTGGCGCTAATTATTTATAATCACAGAGGCGCAATTACCTCGTCTGATATACAGTGTTGTACGTAATCAATGACAGTCAGAAGGTCATCAATTGACAAGGACGACAACTGTTGCATCAGCAGCACACTGATGAACTGGAAAGAGCAGACGAAGCCTGCAGGACGGCACAAAATTGAATTCGCTTTTTTCCCGTCTTCTGAAGTTTGACAATTACGAAAACGATAGAGAAGACCCTGCAAAAACGCAGAATTACGCTGAAAAATCTTCAACAACCGCTCAATCTGCGAGTCAAGCGGTTCCTCAGTCCAAATCGGGTTGAGGCCACAAGCTGTATCCATTCGTCTCAAGGTTGCATAAGCAAACGAGCAACCTTCAAGAATATAATTAGAAAAGACGCATTAAAGTTTCACGTAACAGTTATACCTAAAAAATTCATTGCCACGAAATGCTTGTTGCAGAAAGACGTGATATTGTCGCTGCTGAATTCAGAGGAAAAGCAAAACGAATGAATGAGCATTTCAAGGTAAGAACGGCATTTGCGCTTTGAAACTATAAAAATATAAGCGATGTCAACGTGCCACGTGGAAAAAATAATATTTACTCTCGCTTTCAGCAAAAAAATCAGATTCTTTTCCAGATAAACAGACTGTATACACCGCGATCCAACAGTTAACAGCGTGTGGTGCGGAAAGAGGAGACATGACCAACGTTTTCAAATCGCTGATTATTCTTGTCACGTATTTAAGTGCTATACATGGATATGCGACCACAAATGTTTCGAGATAGATGATTCCTCGGATGATCGGTCCAGCCAGCTAAAAGATATTTCCTCAAGTTCACAGAAGAAAATATCGACGATATAAAATATACTGTATGAAAAAACTAATCTATTTTCAAAAAATGAGTAATAACCATCCTCAGCAAGGCAACTCTTGGTAAAAACCCAAACTATAACCACCCTAGAGAGTAATAGCAAGAGAGCATATCTTTTCCTAGCTAAAATCAAGCAAGAGTAGCCACACAAACACAGAAGTTTAGTTTTAAAATTATTCACGTCTTAAATAAAGGCACAAGAAAGACCAAATAACGGATTTATCAAAAGCAACAATGCTCTTACTTTGAAGTTAATTGCTTTCACGCAAAATTTTTAAACAAAATCTCTGGAAGCGACGCATATTTCAAGAAAAAACCAAGAAACAGGAAGAAAAGAAAAAATACAATAAGGGTATGCTGACTGATGCAACGGTTTGATTGTCTTTAGTGGAATATAGATCAAGCTAGGCCGAAGGGGTTAAAGGACCCGACTTATTCTTATGAATTTTTGAAACCAAACTTTGAGGACGAGGTGAAAAAAAGCTAGAATGAAGTCCGGTCATCCAGCAAAGACGAAAACTTTCTGAAGTATAAAATAAGCTACGCACTGGTTTCTCAGCAAACGACGATTTCAGGTTTTATGCTGTTTGCTTTTCTATATATGTAGTAGAAGCATGAATATGAACGACTTCTTGTGTAAATAACCTATTTATATCACTTACTATTCTAATAATTCGTCAGGGATCAAAAGGACCTGTGGATATATGATTTCAAGTTCTTCAATATATAATAGTTCCGAGCATATAAGAAAATGTCAGTTAAAGTTAAAGTGCCTATCTATATAGCGTTACAGCACAGTCCTCTTGCCCATACAGATTTACGGATCATTTCAGCAGCTCCATGGTGGCTCGATGGATCCCCATGGGTGTCCAGCAGCAATGAATCGAGATTAACATTCTATTTACATGAATGGAAAGAAGAAAATACTATATAAAAAATGTAAGTATAATACGCGAATATTTCCACAAGCATATATCATGCGAAAAAGTTTCGTAAATAATTTATTACTGATTATTGCTAATGACCCTTAGCGAGACGAGGCCATTCAGCGGTGCGGAGGAGAAATCGCGGGAGAAAAGATGCCTATAATCGAGCATATCGAAGAAAATTTTGGGCGGATAAAATATCACAGATTCATCACCTTAAATAACATGAAGGGCAACGGATATTCGCAAGACTAGCGTGGACAATACCCAAAACCATTTGCCAAGATTGACAGAAATGGAAAGCTCAAATAAAAATGATCACCAGTACCCGGCGTGCAACTCCTGCGAGACTACGGAGAACTACGTCGCACGAATGAGAGATGGCCGATAGACTTCAGCAGTGAAAGATTGGTATCCAAGCGCGCAACTGGAAGACCTCGGTTCAGATGGAATGATGAGATAAAAGAGAGATGAAAGCTGGTGGCGAAAAATCTCACAAAAGAGACAAACGTTAACTTCGAAATCTGATGACGGTGTTCCCCATTATGAGAAAGGATTAGTAAATTCTTTTATTAATTATATTAGTATCTTTCATTGCACCGAAAAGGCTCAACAGACTGGCTCACAGGTATATATGGCAAACATAAACCTATGTGATCTAGGAAAAGTCATTGTAACAAAGGAAAAACTTTGTTTTAAGATGAAGCTGCGTGTCGTAAAGTCGATTTTCATATAAGTTGTCATTCACGGTCACGAGCTACAGATTCTATGAATCATGCTCCAAAGAACATGAGATGGGATAAAAGCAGTCGAAATGGGCTTCCTGGAAAAGATCGCTCGCCTTCGAGCTTCAAAAGAAGTAAGGTCATTAGGGAGATCAAAAAGAGGGCAGGCGGAATTACGATGGGATTTTTGTAGTGTAATAATTTTTCTTTCTTTCGATCGTACCTTTTGACCCGTGTTCAAGTCCTGTTCAGTGCTCTTATCCCGTTCACCACTGACTGAAAATTTAATTCTCTGTTGTTGGATTGAACAATATTTTTATTTACCTGCGTTCAATTCCTGAAAAATGATATTACCTGAACGACCATTCAAGATATAAATTTAACCCAAAACTATGCGCTATTTCTCACCAATTTCACCTATCTGAAATGGTTTTAGCACGTTTAACATACCATACGTTTAACATGCCTCTCCTACATCGTCTTACCCGCGAAAGATCCCAATATAAGCGATGACTGATTTGGTGTAAATGCCTTGGCATATCTGATATAAGATTTGGGGCATCTGTCATAAAAACAGATCTTTTGGGGGAACTGTGAACGAAATTGTCTGACACGATCAGACCTGCGATCCAAAATGTTATCCTGATAGTGCAAAGATCTGCCCAGTTCCATAAAACTACGTCTATTTAGTTAAACCTGCATTAAAAAGCTATTTTTTCATTGAGTTGCTCAAATAAACGCACTGCGAATACTCCATGGCAGAAAAACGTACTCAAACGTACTTTGAGAAGCCTTTGACGAATTTCAGACTCTTGCTTTAACAAGGTTTGCAATCTATCCTGCTGCTTCGGTGTTAGTCGTCGTTCGAATTTACCGTCGAGGCGCTTTTTCTCATCAAGTTCCTATTAATATCATAAAAGTCAGAAACCAATTAAAACAAAAGAAAAACCTTTTGGAGCTCGATGGCTGCAAGCTGTTCCTTAAATGAATACAGTTTACTTTCTCGCTTCATGTTGGTAGTAGAAAATTTTTCCTTCTCCAGGCTAAATAGGAAGAATAAATTAAAATGAAATTTTTTCCAAGAATTAATCATTTGTCAAACTATTTACCAGTTATGCTTGACGGTCATATACCTAGAATCATTAAATAGATTGCTCAATGTGCTAGGACGCAGCTAGAAGAAATTCGGCAACACAAGATAGACAGATAGATATAACCCCGTCATATCGACCGACATCGTATCTTTTGACAGAGTAACTGCTTGCACCGTGTCTGCTTTAATAATACTGGTGTTTTTCCAGCAAGAATAAAAATAGGGAGTCCTATATTATAACTGGATCAACACTTTGTGTTGTATAGTCAGTTATCTGGTGGTCAAAGCAAATAGCGACTCTAAGACGATCACATCAGACACGTATCCGTAAGGTACCAAATTCTGGTATGAACACACCGGAACCCCATGCTGACCCAGATGTTCAAACGTTAACCTGCTACCCTTTTCTCAACTGGTTGCGCCTAGTAAGATCAGAGTAATTCCTTGCTCAACTGAATTAGCAATGAATAGAAACCTTTAACACTCAAACCCCAAACTTCCAAAGTTCAAAACTGATCTTTTGCTACGTGCCCCCTCCTAAATAATAGAAAGTCAGGAACTGAAATCGTGGAAATATTTATATGAAGCGAAGATAATGACAGTAATATAAAATGACAATTGCAGCACTAAAAGCACTTACTATATTTCATGTTGTTCAGAAGCAACTAAACTGACCAAATTCTGCTTTATAAGCCTCTTTCGTTTTCACCAACAAAGTTATCTTGCGCCTTCGATGATGTTCTCGACTTTCTTCACCGAAACAATGCTGATCCTGGCAAAGACGAAGGCCTTTATTCTGGAGGGAAGGAGCAGTTCAAGATAACTCGCTAGACACCTTGCCGACCTGGATTACGCAGATGATATTGTCCTGGCGAGTAGTACGGAAAAAAGGCTCCATTGTCTAGTGGCTCCCGTTTGCAACACAGCTGCAAGAGTCAGCCTCTGGCTTAACATCTGGAAGTCCAAAGTTATGAGGAACCCATGAGAGGCAAACTGTTACTGAGATAGAGAAGGAAAGCCATAGAGGAAATCTACCAGTATCTGGGCTCAATCACCTCCAGCGAAAGAATTATCCAGAATTGCATAGGCGGATAGCCCTCGGATCCACCATTTATCCCGTGGAAAATTTGAACTGAGAAAGAGGCAGCACTTTCCATGCAATTAAAACTGTACCTTGCCTCTGTCAGGTCAGTGCTGTTTTAGGCAGTGGAGACAGTTATTCTAACGCAGGCATAAGAACGACGGTTAAACTGCATGCAGCAACGATGGCTTCGATGCAAAATGAGGATAAAATGGCTCGGATTAAGGAATGACGCAGATCTCTTCCAGGAACATGTGAGTGACCTTGATAAATACAGAGATAAAGAAAATGGAGATTAGCGCCGCTAGATGTAACCGCTGGAGTAAAAATTCGTCGGCTTCATACGTGGGAGTGACAACACGGTAGATTTTGGCCGAAAAGCATGCATACAACCAGAGAAAAGAAGATAGAGGTAGATCCGCTTTTAGGGAGGAGTGTTTCTTTCTGTGATGCAACAACCGTCGCATTATAGCAAAAGTTTTGCAAGACTGCCAAAACAACGGACATCATAAATTCAACACGTTATGCATATGCAATGGTTCAATGTGATGACTTAACGCGTGCACACAGGTGACAGTGCCGGCTGAATGTGATTTCAAAGGACATGAGATTCAGAGGTTAACTGCATCACATGGTTAAC